GATGATTAGTTTGATAAGAGAGATTTGTCACAACATGAAAAAAAACTAACTTGTCTGTAATTGAATATATATAGAAGAAGAAGAAGGAGAGGGAAAAAGGTGATTATGAACAGAAAAGAATGAGAAAATTGGATGGTGAAACGTTATTGATTACGCGTGGGGGTGGCAGATATATGAAAGGTTTGTTTGGACGGCGTGCACATCGAATTTTTCACGCCACCCCCCGTTACAAATATTTGGCGCCTCCCCTCCCCGGCCCTTTAAGATTTTCCACTTATCTTTCATCTCTTATTATGCTTTATTAACTACTGCTTGTCCAATCCTAATCACAAATTGCACAATTTGTGTACTTTTTTTCGTCCCAAAATAATGATTTCTGCTTATTATGTTAGTTTAATACAATAAATAAAGATAATTATTTGAAATAGAAGGACTGAAAGAGTATCTGTAAATTTTATTAGGAGATCAGAGGTTTTTGTAAGTCTTATGATATGTTCATAATCAAATTGGAGTGGCGTTCAAATAGTAGGTTAATTTTGACTCATACACTTTCGAAATGTGCCTTATCTTTTCTCTGAATATTTGTGATTCGACATAATCTCATGAATTAAATCGGGTATGTGTAACAAGTATTTCAATCTGATCTGTTGTCACTTTTTTTATTGTTTAAAGTGTAATTTCAAATTATACTTGTTACTAGACTATCAAATGAATCTGAAAGAAATTTGACTTGAAAGGAATAAAAGCGCAAACAATTAGAACTCCGTTGCTAGATAAAATTTTCGTTATAGTGAAAATTATTGTATACTTTTGAATAATTGACGGAACTATTGTATCAAACATTCTTGACGCTGTCAATAATTTCTCCAAAATCTATAGTAAGATTGATCATTGAACCACTTCTCATCCTCAAATCCTTAATTTATGACACGTGAAAATTGCAAGTTTTACCAGATAGATAGGTTGAGGTTAGCCAGTCACTGTCCTTCCATTTACCAGTGTACTGCAAAAAACACAATAATGTTAAGATTAAACTGTTGTTAACTCACCCCCACAATCCAGCTTTCGTGGTCTGTCTGGTGCGCCGCCCTTTGACAATTGGCACCTATAGACGTCTGCCACGTGGAAGACAAAGAACAATATCCAAAGCTGTCTACATCCGAGAACTAATCATTTGTAGTCAGTTTTATTAATTAAACTCCAAGTTTGTTAGTTAGTTTAATAAACTAAAAAAAAAATTCAAGATTGAAGAAGGATTCAACTTTACTTTAAAATAAAAATTGTATTTGTTATAGGGTTTAGTATATTCGATGCCCTATTTTTTTTTCTTCCTTTTCTTTATTATTAAAAAAAACAAAAAACAAAAAAAAAATTGGAAAAATGAGCTCCCTGTTTTCAAAGTCGGGTTAACGAAGAAGTAAAGTTAAATCCGTTTACACTAATTGTTGGAATTGGTAAGGAGCTCATATATACTCAATTAAACAAGCAAGTATTGAATTCGAGTTTGTTTTAAGAACAAAAAGTTATTAGGAGATTTTTTTTCCAAATAAATAAATAAATTATCTGTGCTCCATTCTGAATTCTTTTTTTTTTTTTTGAAAGACAGAAACTTTATTACGATTGCTGAGAATCAGCCAGCTCTGATTGATACAAACCGTCCAATAACGACTGACAAAAGAATACAATTACTAAACTAGTTATTAAACTAGTTACTAAACTATTACAACTGGAAACATAAAATAAAACTTTTACCAACCAGTTGCTCCGTTTTGAATTCTTAGTCACACATTTCTTTAATTTGGTGTCTCAATTTAATGTAATCCTTTTTCATCTGTTAGATATTCCTAATCAACCAAATTTTCTTAGTTCCAAAGGAAGAATAATACTAGGAATATTACACTATAATGTTGCGAGAGTATGCCAACACAATAAAAATCAGTTAACAGTTTATAGTGTGGGATTTTCTAACAAATGTGGACCATTTTCATATACGAATCTAAGAGGTTTACCACAAATTTAGCTTCTCTACACATGTATGTGTTTTAAGTAAAATGTTAATATTTCTTTAGTAAATCTCTTACCATCAATAATTTCTGAATGTGTAGATACAACAACTTTTTCTGATTTTCAATAATCCCTGTAAATAACGATAATCGGGTCCGTTTTCAATAGTGAGAGCAGGCGTATTTTGTTGGACTCAATAATTGATGGATTAGAACTGAATTTTTAGCTAGAGCTTCTAAATTTGCGTTTCAAATGTTGTTGATCAATGATCAAAATGGTTCAAGGACACCAATTTAAAGGGCTAGAAATCCACTTCCATACGAATTCTGAAGAAAGAAACAGCAAACAATATTTTTTACCTAAAATAAAAGTAAAGAAATCACATAACCCAGATCGAGTCTAATTCACACGGATCGAATACTCTTCATTGTTTAATTTCCAATAACTTCAAGAGAAGCAAAATTTGCTAGGGTAAATAGTATATGAAACTGTCAAGCTAGTTGGCTAATTCATCTTCTTAGTTCTTATCATCATCCTTGAGTGCAATTCAAGAAGAACACAAATACGCTTTTTTGATGTAGAAAAACAATTAAAAAATCCAGTAGCAATTTTGGACCACAAAGAAATAAATTGAGTTAATCTAATTAGGAGAATGAATAGGGAGGAAGATGGTGACCACTCCATCCAGCTATGAAACTGAGAAGGGGAAAGAAACCAATGATAAAATATTAAGGAGAAACCTAGAAGCTCCCAACAACGCACACACCATGTTTGTCTGCTTCGTTTCCACGTTTCCGTACTCTTCAATCTTTTCAAGACTTTTTTTTAAGTTTTAACCTTCATGAATTGCTTCTTCAAATCGTATATGAAAATTCTTCAAAAGGAAAAAAAAAATTGATGAAACCTTTTCTTCTAGTTTCCATTTTTGTAAAGTAGTTTTATGGAGAGTGAAGTAATCCGAAGGCAAGATAACAAAAGTCTTTGTACCATTCTTTTACAACAAGAGAAAAAACAAATCTTTTATACTCCATCATTCCCAGAAAAATAGTCCACTTTGAGTTTTGAAATTTGTACTAAAAAAAGTACAAAAATAAAAAACTCAATGTAGACTATTTTCTTGGAACGAAGGTAGTATATATCTTACTAAGTGAGGTTAGATATGTATTAATTATAGATACTATGTATATATGCTTGGTGAAGTTTGAAAACATGTTATCGATCATTGCATTCTTGTAAAAATAAGTAACTATAACATAAGCATGAAAAGTGTCATCTCTTGAACACTATTTTTTAGAAATTACATCAACTTTCAATGATGTGGTAACTATTATATTCAAAATTTGTTTGTAACCATTGCGTTGCATGTATTTTTCCTCTTTCGCCCTCTATCCGTAGTTAAAAATAGTTGTGCATTTTGAAAATTAACGAAAAATGAAAATGAAAATCAATTTATAATGGCATGAATTCTCAGTTTAAAAACATATCGGAATGAGGTCGGAGAATTCGATGCGATAATATTAATGAAAATTTGTAATCACGATTTCAAACCACTCTCAAGAATAACCACAAAAAAAAGAAGAAGAAAAGAAGAATAAAAAAAGGCCTGTGATATTTGCTAATTACATATATAAACTAATCCTTATAATTGATGAGATGAAAACGGTCCTAAAACGCAATGGAAGATTTTGGTATCGTTCCAATTCTATCGAATTTCTTACCAAAGTGACAAAGAAAGGACCAGCCTTAAAACTTGAACACCCTTTCTATTTCGCCGTGCTCCACATAATAATTACTAATCTCACATAGTCATGCTTTTTATCATTTATGAGACAATGAGATTTTTCATCCCTTTTTTGGTCCTACTCTATTAATTAACATCATGTAAAAAGCACGACATATTATTCCTCATGTTCGATTTTGGGATATAATGGATTAATGGGCCATGAATTTTGTGACTTCGGCTAGATATTTTTGTTGCTAGCTATAGGCTAGTTATGATGAATATCGGCAAATATTATTATGCTCTAATAATTGCTAGTAATTAATCAAATGAAAAGTAGTCCCTTTCACCTTGGATCTTATTTCAGGATCCTTAAATTTCATCTATTTGGTATAAATAATGTTTGGCAAGAGAGGAATAAAAGGAAATTTGCAAGGCAAAAGATAGATGTACAAAGCAGAGCTGATATGATTAAAACCGAGATATTATGAAAATTGAAGACCTGCAATCTGAAACTCAGGTCATCAGATAAAGATTTTTTTGTATAGAATAGGATTCTAGATGGCAAGGTTGATTGAAATGTATAGAAAGTAGGGAACAGTGTAAAACCTTGGACAGTTGAAGTGATGATCAATGAATTTACATTTTAACAAAAAAAAAAAGAAGAAAGATATCGATCTTGCACGTTACTCTGCTCGACTCAAAATTAAGATAATCTTTTTATTGACATTTGTTCTAACTCAATATGCAGATTTAGATGTTTCAGTTTGTGCATCAATACGTGTTGGTCGAGTAATTTTGAGAGATAAAATGGATGAAACTATACAAGTAATATATCTTCAAACTGAGTTGGAATCGGGAGTTTTTTGTGACCATCAAAGGTGTTTTCATTTGTTAACATTAAAAGAAATGTGCACCAAATTATGGCATTGGGGCCCTAAGATCGACCAATCAACGGCAAGGTTTTATCAACCCCTGATCTTGTCAAAATCATTACAATCTTATTCGATCTACCGACCCCCTCTTTTAAGAAAGCTATAATGTCTTTCTCCAACAAACTAATCTTATTCGAGATATTGTAGACCACAAATCAATTGTTTTATGTTTCCATTAGGATTTGTTAATTTATTCCACCCTGAAAAAGGTCCAATATTTTATTACATGTAAAATGGTGACCTCACTCAATGGCTACTAAACTCACTAAGGGGCAGATTAGATATAACCGCAAAAAGACGCCAAATTTTAAAATGTAGGTACGATCGTACATCAATTCTTT